TTGCCACAAGAAACCTTGAGAGACACACCCAGTAACTATGTTTTCTGTGTTATATTTGAATCCAGTCTTTAGTTTGTACAGCATTGCATGGCATTACTTCTTTATTCTGGTTCACTGGAAAATGGAAATGAAGGAGACTCAACTCACATAATCAGGGTTGTAGCAAATCATCACCAAGCCCATACGGAAATCCATCACCTGATTCTCCAGCAGGTCCACTCTGCAAAGTTCTTCCTCAGTTTCACCACCTGCAGATAGTATAGAGCAGTGTTTCTCAACCTTGACAATTTTAAGGCATGTGGACTTCAACTCCCAGAATTCCACAGTCAGCATTGCTGGCTGTGGAATTCTGGGAGTTGAAGTCCACATGTCTTAAAATTGTCAAGGTTGAGAAACACTGGTATAGAGAGATGAGAAATCCTGGGCAGCAGAAATGGGCCTTCATCAGGCAGCTCGGCCCTCAAAAGAGCTGTGGTATACTTACACAGATGGTGCTTGCGTGCGATGTATCTGATAATAGCATTACTCTGTGTCAATTTGGTCTTGCCATCAATTAAGTATGGAAGCTGGAAAGTAAACAGAATGACATGCTTAAGAACAAACCTCTGCCATGTTAGGCTTTCACATGGTTGCTCACTATCTGAATTGTCCTTCAGCTATCCTCTTTACCCAAGTCCTCACATATGAATGCCATAGAGAACAGCATACTGATAAGATGTTATAGATAGCTGGTTACTTACATTAGGGAAGTCCAGCCCCAATTTTTCCTTTTCATCAATCCATTGACTTTTATCATAATCAGGAGCTGGAGAAAAATGGGAGATAGAAAGTTCAGAGACCCAGAAAATTTAATCAGCTACAAATTGCTTAACTTTTACTAGACAAAGTGATCAATTTTAGGGAATGCCTAAAAAGTGCATGCTTTTCCTGACCCAGTTATAGCAAGTACCATATGAAATGCTGAGAAGTTCAGGCAAACATTTTGAATCTCCCCTCCTCCATTACCTCTGCCATTTAATGACTGGTTGCATAATAAGCACAGCTTGATTACTGAATTAATCCAGTTTTCAGAATTTGTCCATTGCACTAAGGTAACTTAATGGGTGAGGTTTATATAACACATCCAGCCACAAAACAAAAATTAACATTAATTAATTAAATTACATCAATTTATTAGATGGAGATCCAGGAGCTAAAGTTCAATACTGCAGTGAGGGACTAAAATGGAGAACACCAAAGCTACAAAGTAACTCCAAGTGCCAATCTTTTCCACTGTTTTCCTATAAATTAAAAACTTATCTTTCTCTGATGTATAAGCACAACATCATATACAAAGGGGGGCAAGGGAGCACCTCAAGCTATTGCAGAATATCGTGTAACACCATCTTCATTACTATCTTACTAAGGTTGATCTAAAAGTAACTTGCAAATAAAATGAAGAAATCTTACAGAGCAGTGCATGGGCATAAATGCAAAAGAGCAAGGTCAGAGAGAAGGAATGGGAAACTGTTAAGGCCTTCAAGAGCCTTGGTATCCAGGTAGAGAGAGACCAAGAATCAGCAGATAAATGGAGGTATTCTGTTGGGTTAGAAGCCTGCAATTGTAGTGATAAAATTATGCAACATCAACTTGAACTTTCATTAAAAGAACACTATTATACTCCACAGGACTTGCCTGAAGCCAACTCAAGCGCACTGAAATGTGCACAGTGTTGAACAAAATTATTATTTAATAAATTCTACATACTCCCCCAGTAATACAATTTAGCTAAAAGAATAGGTACATCAGAATAATTTACTGATAGGCAGCCAAACATCATTATGGGCCAGAGGTCTGTCTAATGAGATGACAGTCTGGATGAATCTAGTTCTAATGGCAATATATTCCAGAGTAAGGGAGCTGCCTGAGATGACGAATGAATACAAGGAGCCTGTTGTGATATAAAGGAAAATTCTCTAAGCTAATGGCTTTGGAAAGAGGCCCATAATATTGCACTAGAGATATCATCTGGAAAAGTTCCAATACAACAGTTATATAACAGTCCAGCCTTCAAAGAACAGCTCCGTCTAGTTATTGTGTGCTCCACCCTACTTAAGGTAACTTAAGGAATGTTGCAATAATTTACTCTGCTTGTCTTCTACTCTAACCTTTTATACGTTTGTGTAGAATAAGAACACATATACTAATTTGGGAATATTCAAAAGCTAGAAACAAATATAATTTCTTTTGAATGAAGGGCTGAGCTAATATTTATATTCAACAAGTTGTATTCACAGAAGGAAACAAGGGGGAGGGAGAGGAGTTCAAGACAAATAAACTCAGCAAGGCAAACCTTCTCCACAGCTGTATAACTTTTCTTCATAAGGTGTTCCTGTGTATTCAAGCAGCAGTCGAATGCTATGGGCAAGCTATAAAGAAAACAAGCAAAAAAGAAGAAGCCATCAGATGGGTGGGGTAACATCCTCAAATACTTTTCTGAAGAAATCTGATGAGAGCCTTTTGAGGTAGGCAGGGTCAAGAAACAGACCTAGTGGAGATTTCAGGAATGCTCTTTATTCTTAAAGGTTAGAATGACGGGCACTTGAAAGTCCCTATCAGAGTTTCTCACTACTCCATCTCACCCCAAGCAAAATCAAGGCAGGGTTATTTTGAGTTTCTTCTCAATTTTGCCTCCTTCTTAGGACTGAACACCTCCCACAATGATTTGCAGATTCCTTCCTCTTTGCCAAGACCAGATCTATACAATTTCATACTTGGTAACGAGCAAAAGAACCCCATGGGCCTTGAGAAAGAAGCTGTTCAAAACTATGAAGGTGTACATATGTTTGGTAGAGGAAAAACAGAATCAGTGCTCCCCATAGATCAGTGTTTCTCAACCTTGACAATTTTAAGGCATGTGGACTTCAACTCCCAGAATTCCACAGCCAGCATTGCTGGCTGTGGAATTCTGGGAGTTGAAGTCCACATGCCTTAAAATTGTCAAGGTTGAGAAACACTGCCATAGATAGATGCTTGTCATGGGTTCTTTTTAAACTGTACCAATTAGACTGACCCAGACTCAAGAGAGACACAACAGCACTGGACCCTGGACAGGTGGTTTCTTTCTACAACTCCATAAGGGTTGGAGAGATGTTTTATTTTGTAGAAGTGCACATATAAAAGTGATTGCTATGATAATTACTATTACAGTATACTATTATACTATTACTATTCCATATGCTACACTTCATAATAACACTATTCAATACACTATATACTGTTACCATTTAATTACTCTTACCTATTACTCTATTACAATTAACTATATAATATGCTCTATTATTACCATTATGCACCATTTCTTAAGCTAGTTCTGCTTGAAATCCCCTCTCTGTGAAATTTTTCTTTTTCGCTTAATGGCCAGCATGCAGAGTGGTTGCATTTTTTTTTTTTTTACATGCTGCTTTGTCTTGGTGTGCTGCTATACTTTTTTTCCCCTCTCTTTTGGACCGTCCACTCCTTCTAAAGGTAAAATGCCTTTTGTTCGGCTGCTATATACTTTCATTTGCTGCTAGTGGCTGAGCTCTAAAACGTGCCTCCTCCATTCTCCTCCCACACCTATGACAAGGTTACAGCTTAACTGGCAACTCTGTCATGCACAATCTGGGGAGAAAGTTCAAATGGGAAAGAAAGAACGAAAGAAAGAAAGAAGGAAAGAAAGAAAGAAAGAAAGAAAGAAAGAAGGAAGGAAGGAAGGAAGGAAGGAAGGAAGGAAGGAAGGAAGGAAGGAAGGAAAGCAGCACCAGTTCCTGAAATTTGCTAAGCAACCTGCTCTTCCGCAGTACTCTCCCCTTAACATTACAGTAAAACAATTCCTATTATACTTAACCAGCATAGCCACGATAAAATAGAACTACTTGAGCAGGAAACTCTGCTACTGAACTCCTGTTCATCATTCTTCATACCACTTTGAGCTCCTTCAATCCTTTCCAAAGCTTCTAACAAAATTTATTTTCCTTTATTAACATAATTATAGTGGGACCAAGAGGAGCAATGGTTCACACTGGTGGCTTATTCTGTAGTTTCCAAACTCATTAGTACAAATAAGTGAGATTTCTGTTCCCACACACTTTAAACATGTAATAGTCACCAGTTTCAAATTCCATTGTATTCACACACAGACAAGGCAGACCGCTTCTTTGGGCCAAGAGTCACACTAAATGTCCTTCTTGGGTGGCAATTTTTAAAATAACAAAGAAAAGGATTTCCTACTGGCTCTTGCAAAGCAGGGGGCAATATGCAGTCTGAAAGTTTGCTTGTTGATTCGATTTATTGAACTTATGTTCCCATCCTTTATCTACGAGACAGGGAGAAGAGAGATTCTTTCAGGAAAGACCACCTGATTTCACTGCGAGAACCAAATGGCAGAAAATCCTTTAATAAATTAATCTGCTTTAATTGCGAATAGTACCACACAGATCTTCTCTCTGCACCGCAATTCCGGCAACATTCATTTAAATCTCACTCCCATCTTTACTCAATAAGTCAGCCCACCCCTCTCCTCTCCTCTCCTAAGACAAAGAAGGGGCCCGCTCAGACCTAGCGAGGAGAAATCGAGCTCGTTTGGGGCAGCGAGTCCATTCGATCTGCAGGCGCAGGAGACCGAAGCAGGCCTCTCCCCCACCACCACCCCGAAACAAGTGCCAGACAAACCCAGCTGGTCTACATCAGCCAGGCTGGCAATAGTCCACGCAGGGAACCGGAGAAAGGTCAGGAGAGGCCCGCGGGACCGCCGCCTCTCCTTCCATTCGCCCGCAGGCAGCGGGGAAATCTCCCCGCCTTTTCAAACCGCCGCTTCGGGCGCCCTGCAGGAGAGGCGGCCACTTTCCTGCCGGCCTCGGGCCCAACCTGGCGCCCGGCTGGCATCGCTGGTAGGAGCTGCGAGAGGAGAGCAGCAGGCCCCGCACGGCACGCGCTCCGACCGGGGAAAGCAAAGGCAGCCCCGTTCTGCGGCCGAGCAACTCACCCCTCTAATGTCCCAGTAGCCCAGAATCATCGGCATGGCGCTCGCAGCTCCTCGGCTCGCTCGCTAACACGGTGGACGCTCCGCTTCGCGGGAAGTTGAGCCCGGCAGCCTACAGAGGTATAATCTGCCTGGGAGGGGCTTATTCAACGGCCCATGTGCCTCCTTCAATGGCAAGGCAAGCAGCGGGGGAGGGGGGTGGCAGGCAGCCCAATACTAGAAGCGTTGAATGCAGCTGCGTTTTCGTGCGCCGCCGGCCCGAAAGTGCGACTTTTTGCTGAGTTTGGGGATTTGAGTTTGAGTGGAATTTGATCAGATCTTCTGAAACTTGCCCGAAGCCCAGTTAGTTTGGCTTCTAATATTTCCGAAGCTGTTAACGATTGCTTAAGACCAGATCCAAGCGCCAGGACCGAGAAGGACTTTGAGCCGGGTGAATTCAGCACGAAATTCATAGCTTTGCTTAGCAGCAAACTTGACCGAGTCAAAGGTGATGCCGGGACCCGCCGAAGGGAGTTTTGCTTTGTGTTATTTTAATCGTGATTTCTGGCTGCAAATAGCAAAGGCTGAAAGCAGAGAATCTCTGGTCCGAAGCCTGACTGAATCACAGGTTTTGAAATTTGTCTTGCAGCGTGGATATAAAAATGAAGATGGTGACCACGATAATTGATCTAAATATCATCCCTGTTTATGCGTATTTGGCGGCGTGGGGACTTAGTGGTGAAGATGGTGGCCTCCCATTGAGAAGGTTGAAAGCTCAATTCTAGGTAGCTACAGATGTTCCTCTTCTAGGAAAGAAGTATCTGCTGTAAAGTCCACTCCGACTCCCCAACTCTGCCCCGAATTTAAGAGACTACAGGGTTGTAAAAAGGGGAGTATATTTGCATTGCATGTTAAAGAAGAAGCAGAACTTCAATTGCACCATTGTAGCCATTATTTTGACTTTTAGTTTGCATAGCCTGCAGACCTACACTACCAGGCATGGCTGTTTAGCATTTTCTAAATCGGAGTTGTTAGGTGTTGCCATTTAATGTGGCACTTTAAATAATAGATATTTTCAAAATTGTTTTTATCCCATTTCCCCCATTCACAGGATTCTACTTGCATAATACCAGCTGAAATGGAATCATTGATCCCTTGTTCTACCTTTTCATTTTTAAGCCAAATGGCTGTTCAGTAGAACTCTAGACTGCACGTTCTAATGCTTTTAAGACTTCACATGATTTGAATCTGTTCCTCTGTTAATGCAACCTAGTTGGCTTTTTTGACAGCTGCAGCACACTACTGGCTCATATTTGATCGTCCAGTAGGACTCTAAGGTTCTCTCGCAGTTCCTACTATTGAACCAGGTACCACCTATTCTATACCTGTGCATTTGGTTTTTCTTGCCTAAATGTAGAACCTTAACTTTCCTCACCGCTGAAATTCATCTTGTTAGATAGGGCAGAATGTTCAAGTCTGTCGGGATCCATCTGTGTCTTGAGCCTATCTTTTGGTGGGTTGGCTATTCCCGCCAGCTTGGGATCCTCTGCAAATTTGATGAGTTCCCAATCTCTCCCCTGATCTAAATTGTTTATGAAGCTATTGAAGAGTACTGGTGATGTACTGGCGGCTGATGCAGAGATTTCTTTGAACTGGTGCAGTTTTCAATTCTTCTGTATCAACCTTTCCCCCCTGTTCACAGGCATAGTTTGCCAGCAGTGTTAATGAACAATATATAGAGCTGTTCACCACTTTATGCAATGTCATACATGATTACACTGAATTTCATTATTTCACCATGTTTTGGCACAGGGCCAAAGATATAGCATGGACTAAAGAGAACAAGCAAAATGCAAAAAAGAAAAAGAAACCCGAAACCAAAAATGAATTTAACTGTGTATGTGACAATTCTAGAATTCATTATAGAAAATTTTTCCTGTTCAATTAGAAAAAATAATTGTTTGGGAAGGGGGGAGGAGATACTTTCTGTTGTATTAAATCTTAAAAGGCTGGTAAACTCTAAATCATATTCAACTAAGCATCTAATTTATCATGGTAGATATATCCCAGCATCAGAAGTAGATGCTGTACACCAAACAGCTGTCATGGTTCCGACAGATGAAACCCTTCAAAAGAACTTCGAGGCATTGTTTTCCTTAAAGAATCTTTTATTCGGGAAACAAAGTATCGACACTACATAGTTGAAACCAAAAACTAAATTCCCCTCCCCTGGATACAAAGTAACAATGTACAATTCCCACCCCCAATAAATAGTCATAAAGCACATTCCCCAATTAGCTTAAAGCACGGGCTTTCTCTCCATCTCTCCAGCCTGCCTAAACGTTATCAACTCTGGGCCCAATGTGTCCTTGGGTTCCCATGGCAGAGTTATCGTTATGGCTAACTGAGCTCATATCCCAACCCCCTCCCCCCCTGCACTAACTAATTCTAAGCGTAAGAAAAATGGAAAAGAGAAAATGGCTGCATTTTCATCTGTTGTCAAAGCAAGAACATCTGATGTTAGCAGCGTTGACAACAGCTTTATAACATGTACTCCCCCCAAAGTGTGTATGTTCGTGTATATGGATTTCATAAGCTTTGGGAAAAATTTCAGATTTCTCAATCCCTGTGGGGGAAAAATGTATATTGCCTCCTCAGTTTTTCCACTATGGAATCCAAGGGCTATCTACTCACTGCCGTCATGAAATTAGCAATCTTATTGTGAATCCCAGTTTTCCAATGTTGGTGCTGTTCTGAATCAGAGGAGACTGAGGGTGTGAGTGGGCCAACAGGTGAGGGGTTAGCTTTCTCCCCTGGCTCTGCTGCCATCACTTTTTTGCAGGTCATTAGTCAACAAGTTGACACACACACCCTTGGAGTACTACAGCAAGAATGGGAAGTGTTTGGTTACAGGTCTTTCCCTGACCCATCTCTCCTTCCCCACCCATTTGGGCACCTCCCATCTTAAAATAATGAGACATAAAAGAAGCATGCTGTGGTGGAAGGGGCCGGATTCACTGCCTTAACAAAGCCAGCAGATGTCACATCTCTGGCTCTGTCCTGGGCAACCCTCAGCACATGCCAAGAGGGCTTCAGGGTGAATATGCAGCACAGCAGCAGCAGCTACTTTACATGCTGCAGCTGCTCTTTGCTCAGCTCTGGCACATGCTAGGCAGCCTTCCAGAATGGGAATCTCCTGTTAGCACTCTCTGCTGTAGCTGCCCACTTTCAGAGGTTCTTGGCCCACCTGCACTGAAGGCCTCCCTGGGCAGATGGCTTCTTCAGTTGCTGCAGGAGAACCTGATATGCCCAGCCTTGCAGCTCTTTGGATAGCAGAGTAGAAGAGGGCTGGCAATTGGAGGCCATGCATCAGGGTGCCCCAGTAGACATCGGAGTCTCCCCTTCCCTCTTCTTCTGGGGCTTCAGCTGGTCTAGCAAATCCAATTCTTTTTTCTTATCTCTTAGTTAGAACAAAAGCAGGGTGGGAGTGATGCTACTTTGTCTATATAACTCTTTCTTCTTCTCTGAGCTGCCTAGTTTTTTGCGTTCCTCTCTGCACAGAGAGAAGAATGCCTTTTTCCTGTGCTGCAAGAACTAGGGCAGCTGGCAGGGCGTGGTGGGGTGGAGAGCGAGGCTTGCTCTTTTTCTCAGCGCTTCTGAGTTAATAAGTGAAGACAGATGCTTTTATTAAACTGTAGAGGCTGGAAAATCTAAACTGGTAGTATGAAAGGCTAGTCTAGAGAAAAGAAGGACTAAGGGGGGACATGATAGCAGTGTTCCAGTATTTGAGAGGTTGCCACAAAGAGGAGCGGGGGTTAACTTGTTTTCCAAAGCACCAGAAGACGATGGAAACTAATCAAGGAGAGAAGCAGCCTGGAATTAAGGAGAAACTTCCTAATAGTGAGGACAATTAACCAGTGGAAGAGCTTGCCTTCAGAAGTTGTGGGTGCTTCATCATTGGTGGTTTTTATGAAGAGATTGGACAGTCACTTGTCTGAAATGGTACAGGGTCCCCTGCCTGAGCACATGGTTGGACTAGAACAGGGCTTTTCAACCTTTTCAGATTGTACCACTTTTAGGACATGACAATATTCGAGTACCACCAGTGCTTAGCATGGTGTCAAAAACTTGAAGACTAAAAAAAAGGGGGGGGGGATTTGGGGCTTTACTGGTTAGATTCATTTGTTGTTATAGAAATGGCTATAATATTATGGAAAACTAAATTGTTGAGGTTCAATGTTAATGCTTCCTTCTACTGCAACAGAGGAAGTCAGAAGTCAATGCCTTTTCTTTTTCCTTTCTCCCCCTCACTTTTCCCCTTTTCTCTCAACCTTCGCTCGCAAAAGCCTCTCTCGCTCTTTCACTCACTCAACCTTTGCTCGTAAAAGCCTCTCGCTCTTTCACTCACACATTGCTTGCAAAGGCCTCTCTCTCGCTCTCTCACTCACCGTTTTGCTAACAAAAGCCTCTTCTCTGTTTTTTTTCCTCTCCCTCCAAAACCTGCTCCTTTTATAGCTTCTCCTCTTTCTCCCCTCCTCCTCCTTCTCTCTTCCAGGTGTGCCGGAAGCTCCAGCCAGCATGTAGCCGCATGTGCAGATCCTGGTGCTTCTGCTGAGCCCTGCAGCTCCAGCTTATCTCCTCCAGGCCTTTGTGGCACCGCTTTAGCTCGTTCCCTCCCCCGGTACACTTGGCTCGGGGTTGCGTACCACCTGCCAGGTGCTAAAGTACCACTGGGTACCACCAGTTGAAAATCCCTGGACTAGAAGGCCTCCAAGGTCCTTTCCAGATCTATTCTGATTGAAAATGCTCCCCACGAACTTAATCTGCCTTTCCCCTACTGAAGGAAGCAGAAGCTCAAGAAACAGACACAGAGTAACATAGTTTGTTACTTAAACACCATTTAGGAACTTTTCTATTCATATTATAAAATGTAACCTCCCTTGCTGCAACATTGGAGCCCAAATTTAAAGTGGGGAAACAGACCAAGGAAGGATTAAGAACAGAGTATTTTTTTCATTTTCTTATATTCTTTATTAGGCGAACATGTGCCTTAGAATGATAATAAAATTTGAAAATATGGAAGACTAATGAATGATTCAAGGTCCCTCATTCATATGGTGATTCCAGTTGTTATCCTCCTGAGGCTTGTGGTCTCTTCTAGATTTTTTTGTTGCCCCACAAGGCACAACTCAAAAAGATGGGAGTCCTGATGCAGCGACTTGATTTCAGGTAGTCAGCAATCGTCTCCAAGGCCTACCGAGAAAGCCAGAAGGATATTTGTCATTGCTTAGTGTGTTGTCATTACACAGCACAATAGTCTAAGCCAGAACAAAACTGCAATTGTCTGTTTAGTATCTGAAAAGCTATATTGTTGCTTTCAACTGGCAATTTGTTTGCAATATGGGAGATATAACTTTTGAACACACAGAGTTGATCAAGTCCTTTGCCACTATTTCATCCATTATGTAGGTGTCTCCAACCTTGGCAACGTTATGACTTGTGGACTTCAACACCCAGAATTCCTCAGCCAGCCATGGTTGGCTGAGTAATTCTGCGAGTTGAAGTCCACAAGTCATAACGCTGCCAAGGTTGGAGACTCCCGCATCATGGTACGTCACATCTTTTTCTTTCACCAAGGAATAAATGAGAGAAGCTTATCTGTTCTAGTGAAGACTTTTCAATTTCATGGTATGTAGCCCACAATGGCTGGGTTCATACATAACATTAATGATGTGTTTCTGGAGAAAAAAAAAAGGCGTATCCCTTGCTGTACAACCACAATAGTGTGATTCAAAATCACCTTTAGCCAAAACTTAACAAAGCATGTCATTGTTTAAAGCCGCATTCCTCCGGTGTGTTTAGATGCTGCTGGCCATGTTGGCTGGGACTTCTGCATGTTGCAGTCGCAAAACAGGTGGTGATTTTTGTATCAGCCCAGTCATTGTGGCTACTTTTCTAGCCAGGTGCTTGCAACAACCAAAGCCAACTCTAAGGGCATAGCAAATATCTATGTTCTGGAAAAGAATGTTAGGTGTTGTACATTTCTCTTTACTCCCCAAAACACGGGTACATTTTTAAATACTCTTTTATACTCCTGTTATAGTTTTTGCTAAAAAGTGAAATAGAAAGGCTTTCCAATGCTCTCGCCTCAGTTCTCCAAGGCATTAAGTAGCAATGTTTGAAACAACTTTTGTACAGGGTAAATATCTACTAAGAATTTTTAGAATAATGTATGTGACATTTCCATAATGTCAGAAAGCAGTCACTGAGTATGGGAGTTAGAGAGCTGGAAGGAATGTAAGTTGCTCAATTTTCGTATAGATCCCAATAAATATTCCTAGTTTCTCCCCTTAAACTGCTGCATGCTGACTTTGCTACAAAGATCTTGGCTTACCTCCCATTTGAGCACTTCACACCGTGGCTTACTTGGGATGAAAATCATATTCACTTTTCTATTGCAAACTTTCAGTAATTATTATTAGAGATTCATATATAAGGCAGAATGCATTTCACCTCAACGCGATGAAAGAACTCCTTCAGATTTGGGAACTGGTCCAAGCACTTTGGCTCCAGCATTTGATGTACATCTAACACATCATAAACAATGAAATCTACATAGGTGAGCTAGAAAAATTAAAAACAGGAAAATATTTTTAAATGGAAGAATAAAATGGGTCAAACAGTATGGTTCGATATAAATCACCTCAAGCATAAATACCGTTTTTCCTGCAAACCACTTCATGTCCCCCAGAAATTGAGAGAACAGCTTGAGTTTCCCAGGTAGTAATTCCAAATACTCAGGCTTTAGCTTTTCCTGCAAAAAGAGATGATTATCTACAGGCTGGCTTCTAGCCAAATCTTTGTGAAACTTTGAACTTAGCAACTTCCCGTTTTTCTTTTTCGTTCCCTTCCCTCAGCTCAATAACTAAGAGAACTTTTCTCTCTCTTTCCTTAAATCAAATTAATCTATCTGCTCACTCCAAAAAAGCCCAAACTGATCTTCAGATCATCTGTTATAGTCTGATATCATTTTGAAGGAAGACAGAAAGCACAACACTCACAAAATCTGGATCGTAACACAGTCTTCCTAAGTTCATACGGAAGTCCATGAGGTGGTTCTCAAGCATGTCTACCCTGATCATTTCTTCTTCCGTCTCACCACCTGTAGCAACACAATGTCCTACAAAAGTAAGAGGCCACTTCTGGGCAATTATTTGAAGGAAATCAGTTTTAAAACAACACCAAAGGGGAGTCTGAACCACTTACACATCTTGTGCTTGCGTGCAATGTATCTCAGGATGGCATTGCTTTGGGAAATCTTTCTGTCACCATCAATAAGATAGGGGAGCTAGGGAGAAAGGAAAAGAAGAAGAGTAAAGATGCAAAGATATTATGAATTATTACATTGCCCAAACATGCCCCTTGAACAATTCTTAATTCTAGGAATGAACCAAGTGGAGGATTTTCTGAGAATGACTTGAATTCATGTTTTTATGACCAAACATTGCTTCGGATATAACAATTTTGCATAGAGTTGTCAGTGGCCAGAATAGTAACTTTTTGGGTTCTACAGAGATTAAACTGAAATATCCAATTATTTCTCCCATCTTATCCATTCTGTTCCCCTGAGACAACACTTCCATTCTTTTGTCATATAGCATTCTCAATTTTTCCCCAATCCTTTTATACAGAATGAATATGCTTAAACTTCCAGCTAGAGGATTATTTCTACGGTATTTTGCTCTGACAAGCCTCAGCCTGTTCGCTTATTTTTAACTATGCTCAGGTGAGGAATTCATTGTAGTCCCAAGGTCAATCTCATTGATTTTTGTTTTCTTGTCCCACCATCCCTATGCAATTATAGAGTGTGGTTGCAATCAAGCAGAGTTCAATCAAGACGTTTTGCCTGCCAGGACTGCTTCTGTAACAGTTCAAGGCTCTTTCCTCATTAATTTCACCTATCTTAACAAGATCAGCAGCAACTTGATCTGCCATCCCTCTCAACCCACAAGAATGTACTGCTACGTATTCCACAACTGCTCCTTACATTTGGAAAGTCCAAGCCCAGCTTCTCCTTCACACTTGTCCATTCAGTCAGATCCAAATTAATAGCTGTAAGCAGATGCATGTATTGTTAATGCAAGTCCATTTAAACAGATTGGGCAAAATGGAGGTTTTGGGGTTGCAACGACAGCAAAGATAGGACATATTGTTTTGATCTCCCTATTACAGCAAAGTACAATTATGGCAAATCCTAACCAAAGTCATTCTCATTTAAGGTTGACCTCTCAAGACCCAATTCCATTGTTATATCTCTCTCACTGCTCTGCCTCCTCCCCACTAAAGCCATTTTCTGAGAAAATGCCGAAAATCAGTTGTTCATCTTTGTGGGGCAGGCCGCATTGACCTTTCCATCCAGCACATTGAATTCCTGAACATCCCAGCAGCTTTGGAACTGCAGAAAGGGCCTATCCTGATTGCAGTTGGTTTTTCCATTCCACGTTGGGAATGGGATGCTTCCCATTTCCATTGAATTGGAGGTTGAGGCAGAAACTGGCTACTCTGAAATAGTATTCCTAGCCTTGCCTTGAACACAATATTGCTCCCCTAGGTTTGTGGCTGACAAGCTGAAATACTAGTTTTATAGGAGATGCCGCTTAAGTTCTACCCATTTTTACTAATTAAAGCTGGATAAATCCAGCTTTTGCCTTTTGTAGCTTCATGGCAGACAATTCAACTATTAGGAACTTTGTAATATGGAAATATGATAAATGACCCACTGCCTCGACATCTGACATGCACTGTAGTTTATACAGGATTCCCTACTTTATTTGATAACAGTGCTCCAATATCTAAGGGGCTGCCACAAAGAAAAAGGAGTCAACCTATTCTCCAAAGCACCTAAGGGCAGGACAAGATGCAATGGATGGAAACTAATTAAGGAGAGAACCAACCTAGAACTAAGAAATTTCCTGACAGAACAATTAATCAGTGAAACAACTTGCTTCTAGAAGTTGTGGATGCTCTAACATTGGAAGTTTTTAAGAAGAGATTGGACAACCATTTGTCTGAAATGGTATAGGGTTTCCTGCCTGAGCAGGGGTTGGACTAGAAGATCTCCCTAACCCCGTTATTCTGTATTTAGGAAAAAAATCATTTTCTGTTTCAATCTTATACTCACCAATGCCAAGCTTTCCAACTCGCTCTGAAGTATTTTCTGATTTCTTTTCACTGTTCTCCACTATGGCGAGATGCATTATGTTCATATTTAAATAATAATCATCAGCATTTAGATATGCATATTAAGATATGATAATTGTATGCTTATCGGTATATATGTATTTGTATTATATATGCTATTTTGCAAATACTGGAGACAGCTTAAACCATATAAAATTTACAGGCACTAAATGTACTTTTTGCATAACTCTAGATACTATGACTTCACCCATTGTTTATCCAGAACACAAATCTTTTCCAACAATGGTAATTATTATTTATACATTTTCCCAGGAAGATGTCTTTACAAATAATACATAATCAAGTGATTATGGTATCCCATGTTGTCAAGTTTGCTTGAAACTAAATACCTACTTCTGTGTTCATTTCACCTTCCTAAGCCAGCTTGACGGGTGGGGGGAGGAAAAGTGATCCATCATGAATGGGTCAATATTGTATTGATGAACCCATTTCATCCACTGGCAGAGAAAATCAATGCCTGCAAAACATCTACTGCCCCACTGACAATCCTTGTTCTGTGTCAAGAATCTCTCTTCTAAAACTTTGCTAATTATTACCTTGGCCAGTGAGTGTACAAGTCTTTACAAGAAGCTTTTTCTCTGGCTTTGGTGCCCTCTCCTTTCAACCTATCACCAATCAGCAGAACATATTTACCAATCACTGGAGCCAAAATGCCTCAGGTCCGTCTTTGGGGCTCAAACTTCTCTAAACTGGTTTTCTACAGCCTGCAACTCCCAAGTAAGAAATACAGTAAGCTAGAAAAATAGCAGCCACACAAAGGAAGGAAATGGAGCCTGCTGTGATTCTATAGCTATGTTTTCATCCATGTTTTCGTGACTTGATCCTGG